CCCCACTCAGTGTTATTTAGGGTACGCGTATGCTCGTTCCCTCTTTTTGAAAGCACCCCCTATCTGAGGACTGCCAGCATTTCCGAACCCCCCTATTGCGGGCTTTTCGCAGACTTTTCCTGCCTTGGAGACCCCCCTAAATATGGGAAAATGCTCAATGTACCCCCCTAAATTCAGAATAATTTCTCAGGAGTCCAAAGAGATGAGAGAAGAAAAAAAAACACACCACCTTTTTAAAGAAATCTCCGGGTGAAAAGTCAAATACACCCCTTTTTTTTACAATTCTCGGGCCGGACTTTGGCGCACGAGAAGTACCCCTTTACCGGACATTTTGGTAACACGCATGCGGTCATTCCTACCCTGGAGTGGGGGGGGGGGCCAGGGAGTTGTGTGCATGCACAAGGTAAGTTTGGGCATGGTTTAATGTTTAATTTTAAACACAAAAAGCGTAGATTATTACTAGCTTGGTCTTCTAATTTTCTGTCTCCATAAGTCAAATATTGCGCCGTTTTCCAGTCGCCATATTGACAAGCTTTTGTTAAAATGTTGATATCAATTGCTGATATCGCAACTTATTTATGAAGTTAGTAAAATTCATTCAAATGTGCTCAATCAGTGGCTCTTAGCCAATCAGATTGCAGAAATTTCTGAACGCATTCTATAAAACACAATGGTAAATATGCCAGTGCTGAAATGTATTCACAGCTACATTCACAGCTACATGAATGCATTTGAAATGTATTCACAGCTACATGAATACATTTGAAATGTATTCATAACTATATTCACAGATACATGAATACATTTGTAATGTATTCACAGCTACATAAATACATTTGAAAAGTGTTCACAGCTTCATTCACAGCTACATGAATACATATGAAATGTATTCACAGCTCTACATTCACAACTACATGAATACCTTTGAAAGCTACATGAATACATTTGAAATGTTTTCACAGCTACATTCACAGATACATGAATACATTTGAAATGTATTCACAGCTAAATTCACAGCTACATGAATACATTTGAAAGCTACCTGAATACATTGAAATGTATTCACAGCTACATTCACAACTACATGAATACATACAATGTATTCACAGCTACATGAATACCGGTACATTTGAAATGCATTCACAGCGAAGGCAATCCTCTGTTTGGGTGTGATCTTTTGTAAATCCCATCATCTAATTAAATACCTTAAGTGGATCAAAAGCAGATCTCGCCTCAAAAATCAAATGGAAATTTCCGGCGGAGAGAGTAACCAAAATGCTGTGACTAAGTCATCGTTAATAAGTGTTCCCTAGTTACCGATATATTCTGAGGTACAGGTAGTTTGATGGTCTTAATGCTCTGCATCCTCGTTTCATGTCAAATGTTATTATTCATTTTCTCCCTAAATCATGAATGATACGTTATAGAATAATGCAAAATGATAGCTATGACGGCCATGCCCACTGACACCTGTTGCGGCTTAGTAAAAGCAATGTAGTCTGAATTCTCAGACTATATAATGTGATTGCTACGACTTTCAAGATTCAACTTTAATATCATTATAGACCGGTAGTGGTAAAATTGCAGTTCAGGAGTTTGGGTGCAAAATATCCATTCAATATTGTTTCAATATTGCCTTCAGAGGTTTAGATGGCAATACTTCAACCTAAATTTGCAAAAAAGCAGATAAATATGCCCAAATGTTCAATGTTGAAGTGCATTTCGCGATATCTATCCAGGCTGGGTCAATGTGATAATTTACCAAATATATCAATTAGTAGGCGGTTTCTAAGCAAAATTTGTTTCATCACGTATTTAGTCAAAACATATTCTTTCACATACATGTAATTGGTAATAAGAGCTTCCATTTCATTTTTTGAGAAGGGAGCGTTTCCTAAATTGGGTTATACCTTTAAATTTACCAAATTGAATCTGTGTATGTATACGCAAATAAATATTCATATATCCCTCAAAATTGTTTCCCATTAAAACCTGTACTAAAGGAACCTGTACATAAAGACCACCAGCCTATAAAGACCACTTTTAACTATTCATGTTTCCCTTGAACCAGGGAAAAAATTATTTTAAAAATTTTGAGGGCTACTTTTCAACCTTGCTTGCATGAAAGTAACACTCTATAATTTGTTTTGCATTGAACTCTATGCACATTTTTGGGGGCTCTTTCATGACTTTCTGGGGCTCTTTTGGGCATTTCGGGGGCTAATTTGCCCCGTGCCCCGTGTATTTTTTTTCACTGAAACAGTCTTTATATACAGGTTTCAAAGAACCAACAAAAAATACTTGTACAGAAACTAAGCAGACGCAGTTCCGTAATTGTTGTCCTTCGTGCTCTAATCTCTATAGTCAACTTTGATATTTATGCTATGTTTTATTTTGATTCTGATGCTATATAAACAGCAAAGTCCACACAAAACTAAGGGTACACAACCACCGGTAGACTATGGTAGTAAAAAATGTGATGTTTAATAAACCTTTTATTAGCAGGTAAGCATAAACGGGGAGATGTTATGAGTTGTAATGGGAATTAAGTCCAACCCAAAAATTTATCTAATTGTTTTTTATAAATGCATGGTAGGGTGTACACACAGTTTTAGTGTGCTTGCATATATTCAACTCTTATAAATTTGTGATCGGCTGCATAGCCCTTTGAGTTTGAAGAATAAGATGATACGGCCCAAAGGTATCTACCAAACCATGTATCCAGTCCCACACTGTCCTTCTCATGTATTGTTTGATCATGGACCCTAACCCACGGTTTGATCAAATAGACTCTGTGCTCTAAGAGAATGGCAATGCATATTGACTATGTCTGATATAACATTTTACACAAGTATTGTGACCTTTTAACCATTAAATGTCAGCGGGAAGTCAATTTGCATAATCGCAAAGAGGAACAACTCGAAGTTTTAAAAAAATGCTTGCCTCATACATTTATACAAGTAGTACAAAGCTCAAAATGTTTTATTTACATAGTAAATAATCCCCAAAGATTATTGTATTGCAATAGTTTGAAAATAAGAGAGAAAAGTTTCTCTAATTTGTTTGGTTTAATTCTAATCAATTGGGTTGACTTTCCCTTCAAAGGGCAATAATGATTATCATTTAAAAGGCAAAAATGATTATCGTTTAAAAGGTCATGTGATAGACTATTGGTTTATGGTTGGTCGATTATTATTCATTTTTTCGTTTCTTTTTTTTGTTTTGCTTTTTCTTACTTGAACACCTTGTATACCAAAGCTTCTGGAAGAAAGCCGTCTCCAGCTTTAAGTCATCTCTGAGGGACTAAGGGCGCGTTCATGCTTGATTTTGACGGCCAGAATCAGGCATCTGTTACGCGTTTAGTTTAAAACACGGTTGCGTCTTAGCTCACTTTTGTAGAATCACCGAAAAACGGCGATCACGATCGCCGATCGTAAACTCACAAAAAGATGCGTTTACAATTTGTAAACGCGTTTAAATGGGGTCAACGCACTGACCTCTAGTGGGTCTACGTAGCATGCACAGTGAAGGTTTGCGAATCCAGCTGGAAGACCAATTAAGGCCACACACGGAGAATTGCCTGGGGAGCCAGAGAAGTAAGCATGAACACTACATCGTGGAACTGCGATCACGATGAGCGTTTACGATGAGCGTTTACGATGAGCGTTTCAGATCGCTCATTCTGCCTTCAAAATTTAAGCATGAACGCAGCCTTAGTAATGGTAATGAGGATTTCTGCCTTACCAAAGGGCGCTAGCGCATCGACTTGGTTTTGAACCCGGGGCCTCAAGTTTAGTAAGAGTAGGCCAATTAACCTCAATTAACCCATTAATTTACTGATTTATTTATTTTTCCTCCATTAAACAAAAACAAAGTTGAGATCTGGTCAAACAATCACTTTGAAAAGGAAATTGTCAGGAAGTTGTTGTGACTGGGTGATTATGTAAGCACACAAGTATTGAGGACTATATAGGGTATACTAACTGTATGGTTTAGTAATCATCAAAATAATAAGTCACGTGCACTGTACACATAAACATGTACATGTATATGGTACTACACAATCATGTGGAGTGAAAGTTTGGTCAAAACCCAGTGGCTATTTCTTGTCGTACTGTGCTTATGAGGGTATTTGAAGAGCCATTCTTTACAGGGAACACTTTTTCGTTATATTATTCCACACTAACATAAAAAAGGATGAATCACCTTTCCCAGAATTCAATATTCTCATTAAAGAGGAAGTTAATCCTGATATTAAGTTGGTTTTAATAGAAGTAGAAAAATGAGAGGAACAGGCCAGTGAAAATACTGATGAGCAAGAACTGATTTAAAATCAGTTATGAAAGCAATCAATCAAATACAAATTAGTAACTTTGTGAGATATCTTGCAAGGTCCCCTCCCATTTGCAAATAATACAATCAGACCTGTCTTAGTGGCTACCTCTCCTTAAAGGCCACCTGTCTATAATGGACACTTTCTCCATTTCCATTGGGGAGCCTTAGTAGACAGGTTTGACCACTCCAGCAAAGCATAGAGGGTCAATGCTAATGCGTATTGACCTCTAGCACTGCATACTTGCTGTGAGGCAGGTATTATTAGACCCATACACAAATATACACACCACACAATATTGTATAGACTGCACACAATATAGGACCGATTGGGCTGATCGGCAAATTTGACACTAGACTTACAATTTGAATTTGTTTAATTATTCTTTTTAACATCAATAAGTTGAAAAAATGTATTTTACTGCTATTTAGGTGTCATCAGTTGTCACTGCAGTACCGATTTTGAGTGAAATCAGTTGAGTTTTGTACAGTGGTGTTTTGAAATGTTGAGAATCAATAGCACAGCTTTTACTACACAGCCAGGATCAGGATAGTAACGCAACTATGTGTGGGTTTGACTGTATTACATAATACAGGACCCCCTCCCGTTTACTAAAAATCTGATCACGACAACAGAAATCAACATAACTCAACATTTGACAACCTACCTCTAACGATCGGATGCATGGTGGCCATCTTGAACGACTACAATCGTACTAATCCAACACAAATAAATCACAGTTAATGTATTCCGTTCCCAGAGGCAGGTGTCCTTGCCGCGACTAACACGCAACTCAATGACTCGTCCAGTCAAGCCAACAACGCCGGCCCTGCTGCCGAGGGTAAAAACTTCGCCCCCTTTCGAATAATGACAACCCTAATAAGGCGTGACTGTTCCCCAGAGTATGCAATTACACTTTATCCTGTTATCTTCTGTTTGTTCTCCATACAGTCACGCAGTAAGTACACTGGAAACGAAGTCTCAGAGTAAAGTCCTTGTCTTATTCAGATATTTATCAGCACTAGATTTCCCTGCTTGCCTATAGTCTGCACAGCAAAGTGACAATGTCCTCATGAACAGATGATTAAAGGCTAAAACATCCCTTTATTGCTCGTGCAAAGCTTTAAATAACATTGAAATTCACAGGTAGACTTAAATAAGTAAGTACACTGGAAATGAAGTCTCGGAGTAAAGTCCTTGTCTTGGTTTGCTCAGATTTCAGCAGTAGATTTCCCTGCCTGTAGTCTGTACAGCAAAGTGCCAATGACAATGTCCTCAACAGATGATTAAAGGCTAAAACATCCCTTCATTGTTGGTGCAAACATTTACATAACAATGAAAATTGAAATGCACAGGTAGACTGAAATAAGTGGAATATTTCCCTGCCTGTAGGTTGGCGAGCAAGTAGCTAATGTCGTCACTGATGATAAAGGTTGACAAGTTTCTGAATTGTCTGGTAAACTCGACAATACAATATGGATTGCAATGCATGGGTAGGCATCAATAACTGAAAAGACTTCCCTGAAGGTACAGGCTGTAGTTTCTGAAGCAAATACCAATGTCCGTAATGATGATTAAGGGTTCACAAATCTCTGGATTATTTGTGAGAAATCTGCAAAACAATATGACTGCAGTTTGTGAATGCCTTGTTGCTTAAGCTGTGATGAATGCCTTTAGACTTAGGAGTCCCAGTGAAAACACTGCAAACAATATGGATTAAAATGCACTAGTAGTTTGAAATCAATGGAAGACTTCCCTTTTTGTAGCTGCAACCTTGGTACATGAATAACTATAAAGCACACATTGAATAAATAGCACAATGCCGAAGAGGTAAATGTATTTCTATAAAGCCGGTTTCTCAGCTCTGCAGGTTTAACATAGATTAATTCCTGAGGTAAAAGACGGTTTTGAGTTGCCAGTCGTCACCGTTTCATATCTTACACCCCTCTCTGCGTGTTGTCTGCAGACAGTTCGTACTGAGAGTGGAGATAGTGCACAGAATGTAGAGACAATCGCAAGCAGTCTACATACACCTCGCACAGGATGATCCCTCAATACCAGACGTTACAGTCAGCACCAGCCAGTAATGACACTTTCCTCTGCTCACTCCTTCGTCAACTTTCTCCGACAACTTGACAAGTTTTAACACCTATCACAAGAAAGAGATCCACAGTTGCAAATCAGAGCCAGCGATCGGCAAGTAAAACAGGGAAGTCTTGAGTGGAAATCAGCGCCTCAGCTACCAAACAGATCGTTCCCCATTGACAGACTGACTCAATAGAGCCGGATCTGTCTGCGAAACTTGTTGTATCGAGGAGCCTCAGTGACGACAGATAGCGTGACGGGCATAAGAGTTGTCCCTTGCTAAAACCGGCTTTTGCACAACACTGCCTCCTTGTTAACAGTCTGTACAGGTAACACAAATAAAAGGGATCTGATTCTGTCCTCTCTTTTTAGCGATCTTGTACCAAATCTCCCCTTGTCTTTTGTACTCGGTTAATGTAGCGTTACGTACCATAGGAAAAGCCTGTGCCCGACCTTACCTGTATTATACACATGGGACACCTATTGACACTTGTTATACAAGATGAGAGTAGTGTTTCACAATAGAGAGTGAAAAAGTTGTCGCTTAGGCTGCGAAATCAGACACTTTCACATTATTGAGGAATATGTCATGTTCTTTGATTTCAGTCATACAAGGGCAAGAGTTTTGATGATAATAATCATAACAACAACAATAATAATAAAGATAATAATATTAGTATCAATAATTTTATTATTTTCATTATTATTCTAGGTGGATATGAATCATTGATGTCTCTGAGAACTTTACAGATCTATTCTGTCATCAGATTCAGGCTTCCCCTCGCATAATGTATGCACACTCCCCACTCCCTGGGGAGCATTCAAGTAAGGTGCTCACAGACGCTCACATTGCTGAGCATACTACAAGGAATTCCTCATTCGAGTAGGTACACATTTAACACCCGGGTCGAAAGTGGCAATTGTTTGTGGATGTATGTCTTGCCAAAGGACGACAATGTCAGGATGGGATTTGAACCCTCAACCCTTGGAATAAGAGCCAAGTGAATGAACCACTAGTCCATGACACCACCACAACAAATAGAACAACAGATAGGCTAACAAAAATACTATGAGAGAGAGCATTTGGTGTCTGAAAAATTCACAACTGCCCCGGAATCCGGATGATTTGGAAATCAGTCCTTGAGCTAAATCAAGGCTTTTTTAAAAGAATAATTGCCAAATAATGTCCCAAATATAAGAACCCTACTTTGATAAATTTTATGTTTGCTTTTTGTAGTTATTTTGGAACCTAAAGAAAATTTCAGGATGAAAAACCTTCGTAAAGGGATAATGGTCAGACAAATGAAGAATGAAATTAGAAAAGCAGTGTTTCCACTAGAAAAGGAATTATTTCACTTAGTTGTGCTTGTGAGATCTGAATATTTCATTGAAAAAAAAGATAATTTCTAGAATAAAAGTATGTTACATTTTCAAAAATAAAAGTGCACAAATGTCCAGGCTTTGTGTTATTCCTCTTCCGCTCCCCCTCCTTCTCCTTCTCTGTCTTCTCCTTCTTCTTTTGTTCTTCATCTTCTCCTTCTCCTTCTTCTCCTTCTGCTCCTGTCTGTTTCTTCTCCTTCATCTGTGCGAAAATGTCCAGGCTTCATGTTATTCTTTCTCCTTCTTCTTCTCTTTCTCCTTCTCCTTCTCCTTCTCCTTCTCCTTCTCCTACCTTCTGTCTCCTTCTGTCTCCTTCTGTCTCATTTATCTCCTTCAACTCTTTCTCCTTCTCTTTCTTCTTCTTCATTCTGAATATTTTGTTCCAATTTGTAGTAATTTAGGTTTATATATAAAATGGGTCTGATTTTGGAGACTAACCACTTCATGGCTCAGAAGTTGATATGCTGATTTGGAAACTCCCCTTTTGTCAGGCCCAGACTGGTATTGATCATTACTCAAATGACTTGCCAAAGTGCAACACAATACAAACACCTGAATCCTGTTCTGCTGAGTTGTGGCTAGACTGGTTGGTTATGAGGGGGTGTTCCATGCATGATGCATTTTCCCCATGTTATTAAATCTTGGTAAATCAAACAAAAATCCAAGACACAAACATAATAATACACAAGACATGAACTGGAGGCAAATCACTTCCTTCATCAACATAGGCATTGTGTACTACAGATGAACACAAAATAAACAAATAACTATAAGAGTTGAAGAGTTCAAAAAGTTTGTACATAAGGAAGTAACATAAACAAGAAAAGAAACACTATTGTAATTAATATGTCTGTGTAGTCCCATGTGTTCATATTCATGTTCACTCCTTCTCATTAACTGAAATTTTAAACAATACTCAGTAAATACATTCAAATGTTGATGGTTATAAAATATTACACTACTAGGCATACACAATAATGCCTATTTAATAGATATTCAATTAAAAACCAGCTTTTATCTAGATAGTTCAGTAATTTTTTTCAAACCAATATTCATTCTTTTTTTTAAATCAAACAGTACTCATGATTATCTTTTACCCCCACACCCAATTTCACCTCCCTTCCTTCAAGCCATTGCAAGTTTTCTTTTCTTTTCTTTATAAACCGATTGCCTGCCGGAACCGGGTGTTCCCTGTTTAAATCCTATGGGCTTTAGAGAATTCAATATTCAACAGGTTAATATCTATCACACTGAGTTCTAAAGATTGAACCATCTCCCCTGTGAGCTGGTGTACAACCACATCTCAGTGACTCACAGCCATGTATTCCTGTTGGGAAGCCCACATGAGATGGGAGAGGAATGGTGACTGGGTTAACAGTGGTCCAGTGAGACTTGTTGAGGTGAGAGAGGTTGTGCGGGAGAACAAAAGAAAATGTATCAATCGAGGAAGAAAAGGGAAAGGAATGAGAATTAAAAGAGGGAAACCCTTTTAAAGGGAAGAAGCGGGGGGAAATACTCTAGAAGATAGTTGCTCGCGTGAAAGAGGGTATTGAGAAGGAGAATAAAAGAAACAGTATCAATCGAGGAAGAAAAGGGAAAGGAATGGATATTAAAAGGGAAACCCTCGATCGACAAGGGAAGAAGTCATGGGAAAATCCTTAAGAAGGTAGTTGCTCAGATGAACGAGGGTATTGAGGAATGAGGAGTTTAAAAGAAACAATATCGAAGCAGGAACAAACACGGGAGAAATAGTTGAAAGGAAAATCCTATAAAAGGTGAAAGAGGTTCTTCAAGCCCATCTGTACTAGTTTGGCCAAGGGGGATTAGACCATCCTGCAAGATCACTGACAGGTGGCTATCTCATCAAATCAGCTCTCAATTAACATTAGAAAAAGAGGATCATGGGGCACCGATTGGGGAAGTTTTCTATATAGAGGGAGCAAGTAGCTACAAGTAGTACAGTAGGGCTTTAATAGGTGAAAGAGAATTTGAAAGGGAGAACAAAAAAACAACATCGAACCAGGGAGAAATTGGAAACAAATTTAGTAGTAAAGGGGGACGGACCACCTTTAAGAAAAGTGTGGGAAAGGGAGCTCACAAAGGGAAGGGCATGCAAGTTCAAAAACTGGAACTCATAGCCTCAGTTGCAGGAAATTTGATTTTCCAACCCATCAATGGAAAAATATTTTCATGATTTCATCTTTACTCGTCCTAAAAAATGGTCAAAATAGACAGGGGTTGATAGTAACTTTAATAGCAGCCAGCGGAAGAAATAAATGGGGGCTCCAGGGGAATTAGCCCCCGAAATGGCCAAAAGAGCCCCCGAAAGTCATAAAAGAGCCCCCAAAAATTTGCATAGAGGTCAATGCAAATCAAATCAAAGAGTGTTATTTTCATGCGAGCAAGCTTGAAAAGTAGCCCCCAAAATTGCTTTAATATTTGTTTTCCTCTGATAGCAGCTACAGCCACGATTTTCATTCACAGAGAACCTTCTTGCTTTTGTCATACAAGAATAAACCTTTTGTGAATTAAGGGAACCTAGCTGCTCATTTTCCGTGCCTCAGTAGTTATTTAAGGTTGTATCAAGTTTATCATAACCTTCATGAGGAAGGTTCACATGAAAGTCAAGTTAAATTAAAGTTAAGTTAAGGTCGTGATTATACTTTCAAGTTCCCTTGAAGTTACGGACCATGCCGATGCACTCGTGGTTACAAAACTTCAAATTGACTTGAAGTTCACACCATGACAGAGCTTAAAGTCAAGCGGGGGTCCTCACTAAACGATATGTGCCGTGCGGAGGCATTTAAATTCAAATTCAAGCGAGCTTGTAGTTTAATTACCTTTGAATACTCATTGTTTTGATCCTGTGCGAACCCTTGTCGTGGTTTTTGAAACGTTGTTTATAACTGTGACGTTTCGCAAACGTAAATTTTATAAATATGCTGGTACCGTGTTAACATGGCTTTTGCTATTTTATGCTACATTTATTTTGTTTTGAAGTTAATCTACTTGGTAACCTTGTGCTGACTATTTACTCTAGTGCTGTTTGTTTAAGAACTGTTGACTAAAGGTTAGATCGTTGAAATGGGTCTCTTACATTACACAGTAGCAGCAGATATTAGCTGGGTTTACACGGCACCATTGTAGTTAAATTTCACACTGCAAAATATACCAATTTATAAACAACGGTCCACTAATGATGAGGTGCATGGGATCAAAACAAACGTATAAGCAAGTTTGAAATTACAAGCAGGGAAAGCAGTCATTCTAACTGCTAGCTGGTGTAACCTAAGAGTTAATCGCGTCCACACGACACATAAGTTTGAGTGACTACCCGTTTCTTGTAGTTATTGTGCTATTAACCACTCTTGGTTTATATCTTCAAGTAAACTTCAAGTTCCATACCAGTGAGTGCATCCGCACGGTCCCTAACAACAAGGCAACTTCAAAGTTTTAAACCACTAGCAAATTAAGATTACCAGATGGTCGTGTGAACTTAACTTAAGATATTAGATTGATCACGTTTTTCTAGAAAATACGAGTTTAAAGTCCAGTTGTAAGTAGCCTGAGTCACACACAATACTTTTGACAGCCACAAATCTGTCCCTTTGGAGTCGGTTTCAAATCAGTTCCGTCCGTGTAAGGATATACAAAAGGCCAATAAAAATGTTAAACATTATAAAAAACATTACAAAAACATGCCCCTGATTCTCCACCTCCCCTTCCCCCAATCGGATTTCCTTTGAAGTTTGAGTCACTCATGTCAAAAGCCTGATTCCATGTGCAAGCGCATTCATGAGGGACAGCACGTTACTAGCCCAGGGGCAACGGTTGATACAGTACAGACAAGTCAAGACATTAAAAAATGAAACAGAACAAAAACATATCAGGAAAGAAATGCATGCACTATCAGTATTTATAATATTTAAACTTTTTAAAGGGGGGGGGGAATTTAATTAGGATGGGATGAGAATCTTTTATTGAAGGCTGTATGGGCAGACTATGGCCAGGTAACTGTATGGTGTTTGAGCACAAGAGGGCAGCAAGCATTATCACTTCTTACACCAAAATTGAGCATGCTATTGATCTCCC